TCAAGGGAATATAAAAGGAAAGGAAGATATAGAGAAGAAAGACCCCGAATCAAACACTATGGACAGAGAATATGCAATTTCAATTTCTTAGTTTAACTTTAAAACATCTATTTTTAGTACTCGTGTACTTGCGCCCCTTGGAGGCATTCTGTTTTTTCCAATTGTAATATTCATCAATAAAGCACCACTTTTTGGATCTTTGTCTCAAGAGCTTTGTTCCTCACACAATCCTCTGAGCCATTTTTTAACTGTTAGCGATAACCCGCGCGAAACATTTAATAAGAGTTTGTAATTTTGATGTTGTCCAGACACATTTTGTTTATGGATATTCAGGTCAATTCAGATTTAAAGTATTCGATTATTTTCACTCTAATTAAAGTATTTCTTTTTTTTTTTTATCTCATTAAAGAATAAGGTAAGAACAGTTGCAAGGCATGTTTGGAAATCATTTCATGCTACACATCAATACTTGATCTATATCATTTTATTGTATTGATATACTTGATTACTGATAGATTTGGTTACGATATTTGTAGCGAACACCGATTTGATCATATATTGACATAATTAATGGATGAGATTGTTCAGAGATGCTTTTGGTTATGATAGCAAAAGTTTAGATCTCATAAAGTTAAGCACATTTATAAGGGAACATATGTGACCCAAGTGGGAGAAAGTTGAGAAAATTAATTTATAAGAACTTAAAAGTAACATTCACTAAAAAGAAAAATGCAGCCCTTTTGGAAAAAAAATCGGTCACAAAAGTACTGAAAGATGGTAAAATATAAAACTTGTAAAGTTACCATTTTAGCCTTTTGAAATTAGTCAAAATTATTGTCAAAGTCAATTATTTGGTCAACTAACAGTCAAGCTAACAGAAAGTGGATGTGTTAAAGTTTTGGGTAAAGTCTGCAACTAAATGAAAGGATTGGTACCTCTACTACAATTATCCCATAAAGTGTATGTGTTAAGGATTCGAACCTTGGTTGCTTGCAAAATTCGAACTAAATTCGCAATTCAAAAAATGCGACTCTTTTAGTGGATGAGACACTTGACACACTTTTGGCCGTTGGATGATGTTCAGGATGTTTCTATTGTTTTAACCTAATCTTGGGTTGCAACTCTTCATTCTAAAAATACACTCTAGATGGGTTTTGAGGGGAAAAACCCCTCGTTCTTAGGGTTTTTCATTTTCTGGTTTCTAATCTACTCGAGAACCTCATTCGAATCACTAAATCTTGTAATCCTTATGTCATACTTGTGACGGGAGTGATGTCTATGGAAGAGTAGTTTTGAGAGATCTTCCTTCGTGTATATTTTCAGTCTAGGGTTGAATGATTTTTGTTATTTCCAAGTGAAAAGATTTTGAAAAGATAAGTCTTCGATATACTTGATTTGTTGTAATATTGAACACTCTTGTAAATTAACCAAAAATTGGCTCCTTAGGAGGGCCTACATTTTGCAAATTTTTGTTTTTGTTTTTTTACCTTTCAACAACTGACTTTTGATTTCTAAAACTGCTAAAACTCCAATAATTATTGCCATTAACGTTTGAAATTGTGTTCACACACGCCTTGATTTTTTAAAGTTCTATTGAATTTTTATTCTCTGCTATTTAGATTATGTGTTCTATTTTATCGTGATTTATATAACTTATTTTGTTTGTTGTGATTAGCAAATTATTTAATATGCTATATCTTAGCTATTATTCGATAAGTTATTAGACACATGGTAAATTGCATACACGGTATTGGTCGCATATACGGTACATGCAAATCTGGTGTATGCAAATCCGGTATTTCTGTGGTTGCATATACGGTAAGTTGCATATCTTGTATGTTTTGTAAATCCGGTATTTTTTAAACCGGTAATCGTTCACGAAAATTTTTTTAACATATTTTTCTTTGAGTAAATTCACAACCTAATCCCTTAAGGATTTCGCATAGAATTCTCGGCTGCTACCAAAGATCTCCACCCACATTGAAAAAAATACCATTTCCAAGAAGATCCTCAAGAATATCTTTGAAGGGTTTGCCTTCCTTTTGGGAAGTTTTTTTTCTAAATGTATTCTACATTTTTAGGGTTTGTTGTAACAATGGCACGTCGGGGTACTGAGATCGTCTATGTGGGTGATCGATTGGTGCACCACAAAACTTTTACTTCACCCAAAAATATAAAAAAATAAGGAATTTTCACATATACTATTAGCATGTATCGAAAGTAATCTAATGACTGGGGAAAGAGACAACAAGCAGAAGTAATCTTCAATCTATTTTATATGATATGACTCGTGCAACTTCTTTATCACCATTTAAACAATCTCCATGACTCCACCTAGCTTGAAAAAGACTACATTACATTTGTAGAAGAATAATCAATCACAACGAAAGTTGTCATGCACGTACGTAAAGAATTAATAAAGGACAGAAGTTATTTTACGCTCAAACGAAAATATCCATGGGCCTCCAAAGTTGAAAGAAATCCACTAGAAAAACTTAAAACACAATTCAATTCAAGATTACAAAATAAATAGCTAACACTATAACTTTCTCCGAAATAGAACTGGACTTACCTGATTCCTTTTCTTAGTCACGTTCGGAATGGAACCATGACCTTAAGCCATTCCTGAATTTGTGCTCGATTGTGTCCTGGAACATAAACCACCATTTTACACCTTCCACTCTCGTGACCCTCCGCACTACTTTAAAGCTCATACCAATGAACAAATTGGTTTAGTCAAATAACAAAAATTGAAAGCAAACGAGAAGGTATAATTTTTGCAATTAAAATTCCATTGAGGCCACAATTGATTTTGACACAAAACTTAGACAATTAAAGCATGTATATATGAAGCTTCGTAGTCATGACTCCTCAAAACTAATTTTTACGTTGAAAAAATCGAAGGAGAAATATTACAATATAATTGAACACTAGGATATGATGCAATTTCATTAAAGCTAGATTATTCCTCATACATTATTATCTAAAATTATAAAGCATTTAATCTTTTTATCTTGACCGATCAAATTCCTTCAATTTTTAGATTGCATGCAAAATATAATTATTATTTTTATGAATGAATAATCCGTTAAGCACGGCTTCATTATGTACAATTAAAGGTGTTATTAAATGATATAATCATTTATGTCTCACAGGGCAGCTGATTTCTTGGCATTTGGCAAAGGAAGGAGCATTAGCTGCTACGGTTTGCTACAAGATGGGTGATAGTTTACCATTTGCCGTTAGAGCTATTTTATGTACAGATAAATGAAAACTTCCATATCTTATAGAGAACATTAATTCTTTTACGTTTTGGTCAAGTTTCTTTACCATTTTAGAATGTTTTAGTTTTGATTCTTGGGATTTGGTCGTTTGATTATTTGTAACCACGGTATTCTTCCGTC